TGGGGTTGGGATTTGGGGGGATTTTGGGTTGGAGGAATTTGGGGCTGAGGGGATTTGGGGGGGATTTTGGGGCTGAGGGGATTTGAAGTTTGGGGGGGAATTTGGGGATGAAAGGGTTCTGGATTTAAAGGGGATTTGGGGCATTAATTTTCAAAATATTAAGTGATAAATACTAAGTGTTAAAATATTCTGTAAAAACCGTTAAATTTTGGGATATGAAGCGTGGGGAGAGTGGGATATTGAATATGGGAATGTGAGATATGGGATATAAAACTGGGGGGTTTTAAAAGCTTAAAATGTGGGATAAAATATGGAATACTTGGGGTGTAAAGCTGGGATTTTAAAGGTGGAAAAAACCGGGAATTCCAAGGGGTTTTAAAGGGATAAATTAGGGAATATTTGAGGGGTAAAGATGGGATTTTAAGGCCATAAAAAAATGGGAATTCCAAGGGATTTTAAAGGGATAAATTAGGGAATATTTGAGGGGTAAAGATGGGATTTTAAGGCCATAAAAACTGGGAATTCCAAGGGATTTTCCTGCTGTTTTCCCCAGGAGCCCTGTCCCCAAAAAGCCACCCTGGCCAAGGTGGTGCCGACCCCCAACAACGGCTCCGTGGAATTGGTGCCGATCCACAGGGAACAGGTGAGGAAATCCGGGAATTCCGGTGGGGTTCATCCCAGAAAATGGAATTAATGGGGGAAAATCCTGGAATTCTGGTGGGATTTGTCCCTGGAAATGCAATTAATGGGGGAAAATCTGGGAAATCAATGGATTTTAACCCTGCAAATGGGGAAAATCTGGGAATTATTTTGGGATTTGTCCCTGAAAATCCAATTAATGGGGAGGAATCAGGGAATTCAATGGAATTTATCACTGAAAATGGGAAAAATCTGGAATTGTGCTGGGATTCATCCCTAAAAATGGGGAAAATCTGGGAATTGTGCTGGGATTCATCCTGAATTTCCAATTAATGAGGTGAAAATCCGGGAATTTCAGGCAAAACCCCACGGGAAAACGTTGGAATTTGGGGATTTTTCCCCGTGAAATCCTTGGAATTCCAGGATTTTCACCCCATCCGGGCTGGAGATTTTTCCAGGACTGGGAAATTTGGGATTTTTCCCGTTTTTTTTTCCCCCCCAGGGTGAAGATGGGCAGGAGGTGCTGAGCTTCGAGTTCCAGAAAATCAAATATTCCTACGAAATCCATGGAAAAAAACAATTCCTGCCCGTGGCGTTCCCCGTGGAGCATCCCTTGGGATTCTACCAGAATTCCAGAGGGTTCCAAGAGGAGCAGGAAATCCGGGAGGCCGAGAGGAAATACGGGAATAACAAGTGAGGATTTCCTGGGGGGAAATCCCGGGAAAAATCTTCAAATATCCCAGGAAAAATATTCCCAAAATGTCTTAAATATTCTGGGAAAAATCCCAAAAATATTCCTAAAGTATTTTAAATATTTTGGGGAAAAAAATCCTCAAAATATTCTGGGAAAATATTCCAAAAAGTCCCAAAATATCCCGGGAAAAATCCCCAGAATATTCCAGGAAAAAAAAAACCTCAAAACGTTTTTGGGAAAATATTCCCAAAATAATTCAAATTTCTCAGGGAAATACCCCAAAATATTCCAGGGGGAAAAAAAAATAATTGAATTTTGAGTGGAAAATCAGGATTTTCCAAGGTTTTTCCAAGGTTTTTCCAAGGAATTCTCTCCTGGCAGGGTGGAAATGGTGGTGCCAGAATTCCTGGAGCTTTTCAAGGAAAGAGCCACGGCTCCGTTCTTCGTTTTCCAGGTAAAAACCGGGAAAGAAAAGCGGGAAAAATCCCCAAATTCGGGAATAAAAACCTGGGAAAAATCCCCAAATCTGCTAAAAAATTGGGAATAAGCTCAGGGAAAATTCCCATTCCTGTAAAAACCACGGGAATTCCGGGCTGGATTGGGAGAGTTTTGGGTTCTTCTTTTCCTTGGAATTTCAGGAGTAATTTTTGTCCTTTTTGTTCTGGAATTGTGGGAATTCTGGGCTGGAATTTGAGGAATTCTGGGCTGGAATTTGAGGAATTCTGGGCTGGAATTTGAGGAATTCTGGGCTGGAATTTCGGGAATTCTGGGCTGGAATTTCAGGAATTCTGGGCTGGAATTTGAGGAATTCTGGGCTGGAATTTGGGGAATTCTGGGCTGGAATTTCAGGAATCCTGGGCTGGAATTGTGGGAATTGTGGGCTGGAATTTCAGGAATTCTGGGCTGGAATTTGAGGAATCCTGGGCTGGAATTTCAGGAATCCTGGGCTGGAATTTCAGGAATCCTGGGCTGGAATTTTCAGGAATCCTGGGCTGGAATTTCAGGAATTCTGGGCTGGAATTTTCAGGAATTCTGGGCTGAAATTTGAGGAATCCTGGCTCAGATTGGGATGAATTTTCTCCCTTTTCCCATGAAATTTCCGGGATTTTGGGCTGAAATTTCCGGGATTTTGGGCTGAAATTTCAGGAATTTTGAGCCGAAACCCCAGAATATCCCGGAATATCCCGGAATATCCCGGAATTCCCCCATTTTCCCAGGTTTTCTGCGTGGGGCTGTGGTGCCTGGACGAGTTCTGGTACTACAGCGTCTTCACCCTCTCCATGCTCAGGGAACCTCAGGAATTCTGGGCTGGAATTTGGGGAATCCTGGGCTGGAATTTGGGGAATTCTGGGCTGGAATTTCAGGAATCCTGGGCTGAAATTTGAGGAATCCTGGGCTGGAATTTTCAGGAATCCTG